TCCTTCTTGACATGGGGTTCATTGCCCAGGGGGAAATCCTTTCTTTGGAGGAGAAGTGTATATATCTCCATGCATGTCATCGAGAGAAAATGACCTTTGATGCTTGTTTTTTTGGTGCAGTGAAGCTTTGGCTGGAATTCTGCCATGCAGAGAGCACTGCATTCAATTAAAGCTTTGCCTCCTTATAAAAATGGCTTCTGCTCGGCCAGTCCGAAGCTTCAGCCAGTTCCCACTGACCGAAGTCAAATTGGAAAGAGTCTTCTGTGTGCCACGGCCCTCTCTATTCTGTGTTTTAACTTAAAGGGTCTTGTTAGTCAAAGAATTGCTCCCATTAACTTGGCATTAAACAATAAAAAGGTCAACTTTGAGTTGGAGAAGGGGTTTTCACTCCTTCTTCATACTCCAACTGCAACATCTTTACCAATGTTTGATTTCCAAAAATAAGGGGATGTGGATCCATACTACGACCGACACTCAGGCAGGGTATCGACAGATGGCAGCTGACAGTGTTCTCTTCTCTCCTGCATCCAGTAGCATTCCACAGCCCCCCAGTCAAGATTAAAAAGGAGCCCCAGAGTCCTGGATCAGATCCCAGCCAGTCCTGCAGTCACAAGCAGGCTTTCACCTATTCCAATGGAGAGCAGTGCCTTTACGCCAGGTAAGCATCCCTATGAGCACCCTGATGTCCCTAATACTCCGTATTATGCAACCAATCATGGAACATCTGTTAAACCTGTATTCATATTGAGTTTGAAATGCTGACATGACGTGAAGATATATTGTCTTTTTTACTGTAAAAGTACTTGAGCCTTTTTACCACCAGCAGTGTTTCTGAAAGATATCTGGATATGAGATAACTCCACAATCTGACAGAGTGAAGCTAGAAGTTTATTTCCATGTGCAGCTTGTGTTGTGTGAAAAAAACTGTGTCGAGGTAGGTTTCTCTTGCTCTGTTGAGGAGATGGCCATTTCCAGCCATCAAATGCCTTGGGGCTCTTCAGGTTTTTGTTCCGCCCTTGATCTTAATAACTTAATATATCTAAATGAGTAAATAAAATGTTTTGGGGCTTTAAATTAATCGCTACACTGCTTAGTTGAACAGTTGTCCATCTGTGTCCTGTTGGGTCTTTTGTGCAATCCATTCTGTTTCCCAAACACCTTTCTGGGACAACGGCAGGTGGGGAACCAATTGAGTGCTACAGAAGCCCATTAACCAGTGCTGGCTGGGTTTGGGTCAAAGCATAGCCTTGTCTCCACGTTCAACGATTCTTATTGTAACACTAGATCGGTAGAGTAGCAATCGGCAGCTTAAGCAGAGACGATGATGAGACGTCATGGACCACCGTCTCTTGTATACACACTATTTGTTCTGAAAGAAAGGAAAACTCAGTGTCGTCCACAGTCAATAGCTATGTGTTGTGCGTCTCTTCCCAGTGCCTGTGAGCAGAAGAGAGCAGCAGGGCTCAAGAGCTCCAATCCTGGGACTCCCATGTCTCCTATGCATCATTACTCCCCCAAACCAACCATCACCCCTCGGCCCGATACAGGATACATGAACCCCACCACCACTGCCCAGCCAGTTCCTGGCCATGGCTACTCAATGGATCACAGGTAACGGAACTCAGCTAAAGCCCTGAAGTCAAAGAGAGTTGCAGTAGTCCTTGTGGGGTCTTTTGACACCCTTCTTGAGACACTGCTTTCCAGCAATGAGGTCTGTTTTTTTTTGCAAAGGGTAGAAGTCTTTTATCAGACCATGCATTCAAGGACCACTGGATTAACAATGGTGAAAAGCTCTAGCGCATTCTCAGTTTCATAATTGGGCTTCCACAGCTCTTTAGCTATTGTGGAAATAAATCAGTGTGTTATTTTGTTGTTCTCTTTTCCAATGTAGTGTGTCTTCATTTTAAAATTGAACACAGCTGTGATACAGTGGATGTAGATGAATGCATGATAGCTACACTAGTCAGATGGTGAACATCTAGTGTTCTTCTCATCACTCATGAATTCTGAAGTGCCATTGAATGCGTGGCGTTTTTCCAATCAAAGACAGATACGCATGGTCTAATTAAGGAATTGGGGAACCCTCCAGATCAAACATCCTTTCACTAACATGGTGACCTTTGTCTTTCTGAGTAGCTCCAGATACACGCAGCCTTCCGCAGAGATGTGCCACCCTTATCCCCCACCTGCCCAAGCCATGCAGCGCCAGCATCCTGCCCCAGGCGGGGGGTACCAGCGACAGCTCTCTGATCCCTGTCTGCCCTACATGCAGCAGAGCTTCAAGCAGGAATACCACGACCCCATGTATGACCGCGCGGGGCACGTGGCTGGGGGTGCCCCTCAGAGATACCCACCCGCTCACATGCTGATCAAGCAGGAGCCTACCGACTACACCTATGAGCCTGGTGAGTCCGTCAGTGCGGCGCTGTGCCCCACAGGATACTGCAGTGGTCCATCGCCCGTGTGGCCTCAGTGGGACCAAAGTGTGACTGAACATGCTAAACAGAACATAATCATCTTCTGAAACACAGAAGACCATGAGAAAGAAGGGATATGGTATAAGAATAAGAAAGGTGCAAGGAGAAGCCTGTTTGGTAGTTAGTAGCTATTTGATCCAAAGATCAACATGGCTGGGTAGCTTGTCCCATACCTCCACAATCCAATGTACTGGTATCTCTCATAGCTGTACCTAATTCCTAATACAAGAAATTGTATATGGCCAATAAAGTCATGTTATCTAATTACTAATAATTATGATACATAATGTTTAGCATAGAACGTGGCCTTAAATAATTTTAGGAAGACACAGGCATCAGACTCTTGAAGTGCTGAGTAATTATTAAGTAAATTCAATACAGATCTTTATAGACTAGTGTCAATTAAAGCAAGATAGGAAAAGCTCTAAAACTTAAAAGTTATACTGAACTTAACTTAAAATGAAAGCATTGTAGTTTTACATTTGACATGAGACACAGAAAATTACCTTAATGTTCTGGAGTAAAAAAAAAACAGTTTGATTAATGTTCTGTTATGACTTTTACTGCCAACACTTACCAAAGGCATTTTCCCTGAGCTCTGCAACTTGAGCACAAGACTGAATCTTGCTCTGATTCAGGTGGCTTGCACAAGAGCAAGGGAAACACACAGGGATTACAATCCAGCACTTGTGAGTTCTGGAGAACCTGTTGTCTTGGTTGCACTTTGATATTGTCTGGAGCTGGGTGAAGCTATCAGCTGTTCACATCCCACAACTGAAAATGTCCGCATGTCTGCAGGGAGGTAGACACTGTCACTATGTGAATCAAAGCTTATGTGTTTAGTCTGACTTGTAGTTGTGCACATAGATTTCAAACAGAAATCACGTTGTGCAATTCCTGTCTGAAGAGGAGTACATAAGTCCAAGTTTCATCTGGATTAGTTTGGTTATTGAGGTTATTGGTTATTTGGTTATTGAAATAACTCAGTAGCAGAAACCCAACACTAGATGAATTGAGGTTCTTATAGGGCAAGGCCATTCAAATGAAAAGCCAGAGAGAAGTACTCCACATTGTTCATTAGCTTGGACAAATGTGTACAAACCAGCACAGAAACCCCTATGAAGATTTTTTTCTAGGTCTAACAAGTTGGGTAACACAAATCTTTAAATACACCCACAACAGAATAGGTATAGCAAAGGCCAACTAGAATAATTACAGGCTTCTTTTCACACAAAACAAAACCAGAATCCAACACATTTAAAAATAGTAGGTTGTAGAGTGAGACTCAGCCCTGCGGGGTGTTCCTCTGATGATACACATGCTATGTTATTACCCACTGACCTGACAGAAGCCAGACCCAGTGTCACAACATTCTATCCAACACTCAATGTAGCTCAGTCATTTCTAGCCTTTTGCTGTGGTGATTGTAAGAGCTGTGGAGTCACTGAAAATCCTCATTTTAGAAATGCTGATGGAGCTGAAAGAACCATCAAGCCATTGAAAGTGACCTCCTGTAGCTTTGTGAATGACAAAACTAGTTTTGGTCAATAGTAAGAGTGATTCAGCAAAAGCTAAAAGCGTCACCATCCATTCAGCAGGGTGTAGTACAACAGCAGTAAAGTAAGAGACCCTGCAGGTATGAAAGGATTTTTTAATCTTTTTTTTCTAAATTTACTATAGTTCTTAAAGTGTCAATAAAGAATAAGACAGTCAAAGCAGCTGCTGGTCAGTACAGTAGCTCTTGGTAGTCTGTGCACTGTGCCTCTCAGCCTGCAAGGCAAACAGGTAGGGTTTACAGGTTTAATGCCTGTGCTTTCATTTTCCAGTCTCTCCTCAGAGACGAATGCGCTTTGAAACAGGAATCCCAGGGACCATCTCCCTCATCACTGAGATTTCTTTCGACCCCTTCTCCCCCAAGCAAACCCTCACCCCCTACTCCCTCACTCTTTCAACGCCCTGACACTTGGCGGACGTCTTGCCTTATTTTTTTTGCACAATGCATCTCTCCGTCTCCCTCCCTCTCCTGAAAGAAGGCAGAAGAATTTCATTGAGAAAATGGAGGGCACAGGAAAGACTAGACGTCCCACAGGACTCCTCCTGGGTGTCCGATTTCACCAGCAGCTTCCTTTCTGCAGGCAGATGAAATCATAATGGAAAAATGAGCGTTGCCCGCAGTAATCTGAGACCTAGACTTACAGCACAAAAACAGGAAAAAAAAGTTGCCTGTAGCAAGCCTTGTGCAGAGACAGGCTGGACGGATAGTACAGGAGATACTAACACAGCATTGCATATGTACAGAAGAAGACAGTGTTCAGTATATTCATTTGGCATTTGAAAACAGTCTCAAATAGCTGAGTCGTGGCACTAATTTCATTACTTTTCAACCTTTATCTGAGACATGTTTTTAATATTTTAAAACAACAGGAAACAAAGACAAGAAACGGATTATGCAGCCAAAGAGACAACGCTGTTTGTTGCCTGACAAGGGACATTTTCTGCTTAAGGGTGCTTTTTTCATTCTGCACAAAATTTCTTCCTTTTCTGTTCCCTTTTCTATTTGTTCTTTTCGAAATCTTGAGTTTTATTCACGAGGTCATTTTGAGATCTCTTTTTTTCAACTATTAAGCAACAAAACAGAGGAATTAAGAATATAACAAATGCTATTGGCTTCAATACTCATTTTTTTATTGTCTCTTGATATGCTTCAACACAGTTTATATAAAGTATTCATATCACAATATTTATGATCCTTTTGGTCACAATCCAATAGGATATAATACTAATTCCCCTTTTATTCCTAGTTAAAGAAAATAGCCCGTCAGAATTATTATTAATAGGAACCCAGAATGGGAATATGATACCATGCCTGCAAAATTAAAATGTCACATTCCTCAGTGACGTATAATCATAGTTTTGCCACCAGATCTCCTGAGATGAGTCAGAGTCATCCAGAAACATGGGTCCTTCTACTCAAGCATAACTCCATTAGCAAAGAGTCAGAATGACTCGACTCCACTGCTTAGCAGTATATAAATTTCGCCACTGTATTTGTTACAGCACCGCATCTACAAGAGTTGGAAAAAAGAAGATAGTTTGATGAAGCAAGAGTATGACAAAAAACATTTACTATTCAGCATGGTAACGAAGATAATCCAAGGGCCCATTTGTTTGGACTCTTCTTTTCCAGCGTGCTGAATTGTATATAACGCAAAAATATTGTTAAATATTTTAAGAAAAAACAGAAAGTCGGTGTACATTCAAGGTGTCTGAAAAAATACAAAAAGATAAGAATATTCTTTTGCAAAATTGTTGGATATTCTTTAGTCCCAACAAGGATCTGATCAGATAACATCAGCAAATAACTTGTTACAAGCTCTAATTTACAGAATAACAAGTAAAACTCACAAGATGAAAGAGGTTACACCAATGGAAATGGAAAAATAAGGATCTTCTTTTATTTCAATTTTTATTTTCAATTATTTCAATAACCAAAATGCCAGTACAATCATATGTGGTTGAGGTTCATGCATTCTAAATTTCACTGTGCTGTGCACAACAGTCACAGGTCATTGCTTGCATTTATTTCCACAGATGTGCCTGGCTGCCCATCCATGTACCTCCACAATGAGGGCTATGGAAAACCCTTGCACAATGCCGACGGTAAGCACTACACTGTACGCTCTGGGCTTCCAGCCCTCACATCATGGCAAACTCCGACACTCCAGACAGCAGCCTGAGCACCCCTGACATCACAAATGGGAAGCATGGTGTGTGCACGAGCCAGGGCTCTGTCCCAACATGTTCCTTATACTTCTTGGGTGCCAGGCCACTGGGTAGGTCCATGGGTGCCAGGCCAAGCATTGACCAATCAAGTAGGTATTAAAAGAACCTGCTCCTTAAGGCGAATTTAGCTTTTAATCCTAAATGATGTATCAATTTCTTATTTTAACATATCACCTGTTAAATTGATCACAATACCTGAGTGGGTCTCTGCAGTAGCAGGGGTGGTGATTCCAGTGTCAGATCACCACTGCCCAGTCACAGCACTGGTGCAATGTCTTTTTTCACAAGGCAGTTAGCCAGGAATCAAAAACCTTATTAAATGTAGCACCCTACACATTCAGGAGTTTTTTTTGTGATCAATGTTGCCAAACACAGGTTCATATAGTTTGGGGTAGCAATGTTGCGTGGGCAAAAAGACCAGTCAAAATTTACTTTTAGGTTTCGCACTTATTAAGATTCCGTACAGCTTTTACACAGGGTAGTGAGAGAGCTTCTGGAAATTTTTAGAAAACATTTTTTCCCCATAACCAAATTTCCTCCAGCTGCTTCATGCACTTCTGCAGCAGTTTGTATTTGGTTCCAATCTACTCTGCTCAATTGCAACACTGACCCAGGCCTGGCTACATCCTGAACTGCAGCCAGGCATTTAACATTGACCTACAGTAATTGATTAGTTTAGCTCTGCACAAGGAGCAAGATAGGAAGATTGCCAATTAAAGTGCACAGTTAATCTGAGAATAGGTGAGCAGAACTAATTTGCGAAGTGATATTTAAAGGCAGCCTGATGACCACTACAGCAAGAAACCAGTTAATCAAAGATGGAAACTTATTCTACTCACTCTGCCCTGTATTCAACCTCCATGTATACCTGGTGGTTTCATCTGGAAAGGGAATCTAATGTTTTTTTAAAGGCTGTATTTACAGAGCACAAACTAGGAAAATGAAGACAGGATGGTTTCAGGACCTTTAGTGATTCCCCCCTGGACAGCAACATTGGATACCAGATAGCTTCATGTGGTTGGCCCTCCACACATTCGGGTCACAGTGGGCTCAGAGCACAGGAGATTGCACTCTCCTCGCCGATGGGAGTGTGTTCTCCATTGTCCCCTTTGAAGCTGTACAAAACTTTCATGCTCCATAGTGGACAGTTTAAACAACACAACAGTTTAAGAAACCCATCGGCCTCTCTAAGCATTCTGTATTGCAACGAGGGGTTTGATGAAAAAAGCACAGGTTCTGTTAAAAACCAAACAAAACTGCAAAAGCAGTTGCATTTGACAAGCCCCAGCGGCCTATGGGTTATACTGATCCCCCACAGCAATGAGTCTAAATGGCGGAGATACCTGGTGAAGCTCACAGCTGAGCCACAGCAACGTTGGGGCAAGAGTGGGAGGAGATCGGGTCCAGTGCCTGGACTCCCTCAGGACCTGCTGTCTCTGACTAACAAGCCCAGAGTGTCTTTATTTCCTCTGGCAGTGGCACAAACGCCTGGCGTTTTTTTTTTTTCTTCGAGCTGTTCTCATTCCAGTGTAAATGTAACTGCTGGAAAAAAAAAAAGTTTTGTTTTTTCTGGAGAAAAATCTACAATAATCAGCTCTAGCTCATGTCTATACTTTAACTTCTGATTCTGTTTCTCCCCATCTGGGGCGTATTTCTCATTCGCTGAAAACTCCATTTGCTTTTAACAGAGTCCAAAGTCCACACAGTGAAGGGTCAGATGGCAGAGCCCTTGACATTTCTGTATCAATTTAATGTTAGAATAATAAAAGTACAAGAACAGATTATTGTTCATTAAAAATATATACAGATCTTTCATCAAATGTTCCTCTTTCAGTGGACTGGTGTCCTGTCCAAGGGGTTGTCCTGGCTCGTCCCCTGTTATACTGGGATAGGTTTGGGGTTGCAGCAATCCCAGCCAAGAAAAAGTGACTCCTGTTGATGGATGGATCTTCTGCTTTCATCCTTAAAATCAAAATAAAAGCACAGCCAGAACTCTCAATAATAGTGGATACTATTCCATTAATCTTTCAGTACACCACTCCATATCAATATATATTCATGTATCCATATGGGGATACTGTTGTAACCGAGCTGTTCATTCGAAGAATTCTTCCCATTTAACCAATTTGTGATCATATGAGCAAAGTTTTCATTTGAGAGGCAGCTGGGTTTTTTTGCTCGCATGCAAGTAGGTTATTCACCAGTTCCATCTCATCCATTTTTGTCCCCGAAGGATACCAAAAACCTGTTTGGAACATGCTGCTTGGTACCTTGTTTCACCTTGTTTCACACACCCACAAGAAAAGTCTCCTTTATTGAGTCTTAAATACACATTCTCACACTTTCCACTACTGTCCTCAGTCGTCTGTTTTTTAATGGGCCCACAAGGTTGATTTTCTCATCACCTTTCATACTTTCAGGGATTTGCATCAAATGTCCTTCCTAGTCTCCTCAAGTGCAAGACTGATGAGATTTAATTCCTTCATCATCACGCAAAACAATGTTGCTACTGTTCTTTAATCCTGTTCTAGAACAGCAATGATTATTTGTAACAGGCACCAGGTCTGTACACAGTATTCTAAATAAGGTCTTCCCACTCTGATGTATACATTTTCACAGAAACTCCCTTTATTTACATTGTATGGTGTTCACAATATATCCCAACATCTTCCTGGCCTTTTTGGGAATGCACTTTAAAATGTTTAATTCCACCTCTCTAATCATTTTAAACCGTATGCCAGTGTTCGAAATGTGCATGAAGCAACTAAACACAGCTTTCACTGGCACTCAGTGCATCTGAGCCTGACACTCTCTATCCTGAATTCCAGGTTATTCTTTTGAGAATGATTCCCGCGTTGTCCCAGAGAAGTTTGAAGGTGAGTTGTGCTTGCATGCCTGTCCTCTGTCAACCCTAAATACAGTGAGGTGTGTCGTCAAGCAGCAGGAACATCGTGTTTCGAGTTCTCCGTGATCTGTTTGCAAACTGGAGCTTATGATCACATCAAACATGATGAAAGCAGGAAGCAGATTTCATTGCACAGTACTTTATCGTAGGAACAAAGCAGTATATGATTCATAGTGTATGAAGGAATGAGTAAAGGTTTATTCCATGCTGAAAAGAAAAGAGAGAAAAGAGATGAAGGCACCATAGCTGAAACATTGTGTCTCTTTTCTTTTCAGCAAGAAATAAACCTTTACTTCTGCCTTTGGAGCCTTTGCATGCTGATGCAGCTACCTACTTGAACTTCATAGTGTATGAAGCTCTTTACACTGGTATTACCTTATGATATCTGTGTCCACAGGGTCCTATATTTCTTCTGGACTTGGGCCAGTACACTTAGAGATGGCACCAAACAGGCCATTACACACCTGAAGAAGGCTCCACGGCTGAAACGTTGTGTTCTCTTTCTTCTTTTTTTCAGCATGGAATAAACCTATTACTTGTTCCATTACACAAGGCAAACTATACAGATCAATGAAGCATCTGACCAGATCAATACATTAGCACTTCCTAGCAGAACATATGTTTAAAAAAATAAACTCAAATGGCTATATTTGTATATAGTAGAAAAATGATAGAGACTCCCAAGATGCTTACAGAACCAATATCAACTTTTTTAAAAGTAAAATATAATAAATCTGGGAATTCAACAGAGGTATCAAAAAGCAACTTTGGATTTTGAAAGGGAAATACAATAATTAAATTGCATCCTTGAATACAGTTCTTTTGCAGATATTTTCGTTTCTGTTTGACGAGCTGAAAAATCAGACGACACTTTGGAGTAAAAGGGTTAGGGAGTTTCTGCTGGTGTTCTGCCGGCTTTGTGTTCGACGATAATTTCCATTGATTTAACATGTTATGTAAAGTGGAGCTGCGGTTAATTATTATTCCCACTGCCCACGCTGATGGCTTTTTCCTGCTCACACAATAACTGATCCGCCGAAACGGCTGGAAACTCAAGACGATTTACTGCTCTAGTTGGAAACTATAATTGACCACAGTCCCGCTGTAAAAGCACCGCGAGCATTTAAAACATTTCGGTTGCAGAGCAGACCTCAAACACAGCCATCTAAAAGACGTTTGACCACTGGAAATATTCTGAGCTCCCAGTTCTTCTCTTCTATTCTGGGGTCACTAACGCCTGCACCCCGCACTCTCTCCCCAGGAGAAGTAAAACAGGAGGCAGGGACCGTGTTCCGTGAGGGCGCCCCCTATCAGCGCCGTGGCTCCCTGCAGCTGTGGCAGTTTCTTGTGGCTCTCCTGGACGACCCGGGCAATGCCCATTTCATCGCCTGGACTGGCCGTGGCATGGAGTTCAAGCTCATCGAACCCGAAGAGGTCAGTCCATCTGCCCAGATCCCCGAGTGCCCGCCCCCCCCCTCTGTCTTGTGCACAACGTCTTGCTGCTCCTCCGTCTGTCCTCCTCACAAGAACTAGAATTCTCGTCAGGGAAGACTTCGTTTTCCAAATGCTGGCGCAGCTGTAGCTGTTCAAAAGTGCTTTGTGACCCACAGTTCTGATGACTGATAGAGCACAAAATGTGTCCCATATGTGTCTCAGTCTGACTCAATTGAGAAGATTAAAACCATTGAATGGCATTTGTTTTCTCTATGGGAAGAGTGCATACATACTGAGTACACAGCTTCCCCTGTTTGGATTTGCTGGAAGCTTCATTAAAGAAGTTGCACAGTATATGTCCACATCACCAATCCAACACGTTTTGGGGTTTCAGCCTAGACTGACTAGCTGTAGTCTTCCTAAGGAAATCACCTGTGGCTGCTCACAGTCTGAGGGTCAGTCTCAAGAAGAGGGAACCAAGGAGTGATGACAGCTATGGAGAATGTATGTGCCTCTCAGGACTGAAGCTGGTGATTGTACAGGACAGGGCAATTTAGATATTCATCCATTCATTTTCTAAGCACTACATTCGATACAGCGTTGCAGGGGAGCCAGAGCCTATCCCAGCAAGCGACAGGTGCAAGGCCGGGCACTCACTTCACAGGAAGCCAGTCCACCCCAGGGCACACACAGACAGCGACACGCACACATCCAGACCAGTGTGCCTTAGGATTGTGGGAGGAAACCAAAACACCCCGCTGAAACTCACGAGAACATGGGGAGAACATACAAACTCCACACAGACAGCACCCCAGGACCTGAACCCAGGGCACACTGACCCACTGTGGTGCCTCAAGTTAGATTAATTAGATCTCTCTGAACTATAGCTGGCCAAAGCAATGTACTATATACAATTTTCACCACATCTTAACAAAATACATAAATATCTACACTCGGGCTGTTTTGGTTCCAGCTGAATTCTCTTTAATTGCCTTTTTACAGTGGAACACCTCTAGACAATCTATAGTGCTCATTAATATAATATAATTAATAATAAGTATTATTATTATTACAGCATACTTTATCCCTGCCCAGTGGTTTTCATAATTAAACAGATGATATACTTTATTTTCCTGTTTTCCAAAGACTCTCCAATGCACAGAAAAAAGCATTTGAAAGATTGATTCAGCTGCACCTGGAATGGACTGGAGGTTTTATCAGGCTGTATCTGAGCTCTTTAATCTCCCCCAGGCAGCGCTAACAGCCTCAGTGATCTGCCATCGGCGTGCAGGGATTCCATTAGTGCCCATACATTATTTACAGCCTTGTTTACAGTGCTGGGCCTCGCCGCACCCCTCACGAGAGAGACGCTGAGAGCAGGGCTGATTCCCCATGTGGAATCTCACGGGCTACACCGTCGCAATCCTACTCCATCGCCCCCGCCAGGCTATCACCAACCCCCCCAACAGGCCCCCTGCCATCTTAAAAACATCTTTTGCTCTCAGACACAGATCTTAACTTCAGCCCTGTGCAGATCTAATCAGGAGCTGTGCCGACTTCTGACTGGATTCAAAACTGGCATTTGGTTTCCTGATAATCCAGAGAAGGGTTTAATCAACGTGTTGCTTTCTGCATAAACATGTCTGCTGGGGTCAATATTGCAGCAGGCGAAAATGTTTTCTATCCTTGCTAATAGTTCAGTATGACTCAAAAACGACATACACAGACTGTCTGACTTCCTACTGCAGCAGTGACCCCTGCCTTCTGTTACAGTTCAAATAGAGTCTAAACCCATAATTACTGCCTTAATGATATTTTACATATGGGGTACATCCAGCTTCTTCAGATATTTCAATATACAGGATGTGGGATTTTAGTGGCATTTAGTGGTGAACAGTTACATAAGGAAGGGTGAAATAGCTTGTTTTGACCTGTCATAGTTTGATGGATGCTGGAAAAGACAATTTGGTAGGGAAGGAGATTTTTTAAAGAATCAACGAGGTCCTCTAGTGGAGATGCTTTGTATTTAAGTTTTGGAAAAAGAATGAGCTATCTGGGGTGGCACAGTGGTGAGCATTGCTACCTCGCAAGCTGGGGCCCTGGGTTCAATTCTGGACCTGGGATGCCATCTGCACTGACTTTGTATGTTCTCCCTGTGTTCACATGGGTTTCCTCTGGGTGCTCCAGTTTCCTGCAAAAGTCTAAAAACATATAGGTAGGTTACTTGGTTTCTGGACCCGATGTGAGTGTGTCCGTGTCTGGTTTTCCTGTGATGGACTGGCGTCCAGAATAAATTGCTGTCTCCCCTGGGACCCTGAATTATAAGACAAGTAGACAACAGTGGCTTGTACACAAAAGAAAATACAAAATCGTGCTCCTCCCTTTTGCAAAAACTCAATTCTATGGTGATCTTTAAATGAAATCATAGCTATTTTCAGTTCTCCCTGTTTAACATGTTTAACAGTTACTCAATTTCTGTATTTTTCACATGCAAAATCTTTATTGATTTATAGAGGTGCAAATATTAATGACAAAGAACACCTGACAAGTTAATTAGCTATGACTGATAAACAATAGATGCTTTATATATGATGTATTGTCCAGAAATGATGATAACTTCCTAGATTGTAGAAAAGAGTACAGTGGGTTAAAAATTACAAAATTGAAAGGACAAGAACAGCACCATGCAACAAACCTTTTTTAAAAAAATGATGTCCAGTGCCTAGACTGTTATACATTGGATCCGGTTCTGTTCAGGTCAAGTTCAAGGCTGTGCAGTGTGCAGAGATTGAAAGGAGCTCTTCATGACCCAGGGCTAGACAGCATGGCACATGGAGCAGGGGCTGGCTTCTCCGTATGTCTAACCTCCTGCCTGTGTCTCGCTGTCTGTGTCAGGTGGCCAGGCTGTGGGGGATGCAGAAGAACCGTCCAGCCATGAACTATGACAAGCTGAGCCGCTCTCTTCGCTACTACTATGAGAAGGGCATCATGCAGAAGGTACAGTAACATGTGCCAAACAAAACCCTCCCTTTCCTGGTCAGCCTGCCTTCTTATAGTACCCAGAGAAACCTCAGAGGCACAGTAAAGCCAGGGGCTTACTTTGTTTTTACCATCTTATACTGCTGGCATCAGCTGCACAAAACACCTTCAGTTAAATTTCACGTAACCCAAGACTTAAAGGGGGCTTCACATTAAAGCTGGTATTTATCCTAAAGGGAACGTCTCCACATGTAACACATCTATATCAATTCTTAACAAGCTTTAAAACCAGGCTTCGGGCAACACAGTTTCCAGATCAGCACCAAAGGGGAAAACAAAACTAGCCTTGCAACTATTTGCAGGTAGACCAGATCTTCAATAGCGTTTACATTTAACATTCTGGTATACGTGTTTCTTTTACTGGGCTAATTAAGATCGAAAAAGATTCCGATTAGAAATCGTGAGCATTATGAATTTCAGCTAGGGGCTGAAGATTTCTGTACTCTTCTAACAGGCAGAACCGATCACCCCATCCCTCCCAGATCGCCATCGTCTGAACATCAGCCTGAGCCAGAGTCTCTGTTTTTCTTTCGGCAGGTGGCTGGCGAGCGCTACGTGTACAAGTTCGTCTGTGAGCCCGAGGCGCTCATCTCTCTCGCCTTTCCTGACAATCAGAGGCCCAGCCTGAAGGCCGAGTTTGAACGCTACGTCAACGAGGAGGACACCGTGCCTCTGTCCCACCTGGATGAGACCACACCTTACCTCCCCGAGACAGCCGCTGGCAACATGGGTGCCCAGCCCTACTCTAAAGGCTACATGTACTAGTGCCGCCACCCCTCCCTCCTGCACACACTCCCCCTTGTATATATGGCTATGGTGTTTTGTTTAAATTAATCCTGTTAGGGACTTGAGGTTTTAAAAGCTGTATTCTTCTCACTTCTAAAGACTATTCTATCCAGACACATGACAGTGGTTAACTGATGCTTAATAAAATTACAATATTAATACTAAGAAAAGCACTCTTCCTTTGGAATCGTAGTGCCCTGTGTGCTTGTACTATAATGCAGTTCAGCTAGTCTTTTCACTCTGAGTTTGGTTTTGTAACTAAGCTCTGACTTGTAAGAAGTCTGTAAGAACCATATTTTCCCCCCAAAATAATAGATCACACTTCATGTTCATAAGGTAATGCATACCTCAGTAAGTTAACTCATGAAGAAAATGTTTCTTTAGAAATATGGAAAATAGCAAAGTCCAGTTTGCAAAAGTTGTTAGTATGCAGCACGTCCAATATTGTCCTTTTATTTAACCACCAACAGAACATAATTCCAGTGTGCTATATATCACTTAACAGACAAATCCGATGGGTCAGTCTTTTCTTGTGCTAAACCTTGTTTGAATAGTGTTGTAGCCAATTGACAAAATTCTGTCATCAATATACACATACTCAACCAATATCAAAGAAGGTTCAAAGGGTGGCATCACATGCTTCAGCAATAATTTATTTGCTTTGAGCAATTGATTTCCAGCTCCTGGCAAGAACTTGTTAGTAGTTGCAAATATACATAAGGGACTAGATGCAATCTATTACTTATTTACTTAATTCAGTTTTTATGCATATAAGATTGAAAGAAAGGGATATCACCAAAACACAGACTCATGTTTGTCCAGCACTGTGCACAGACAGCCCTGTTAACCAAAGAGCGCAAGTAGTGATGGATTGGTTTTTTAAAGCCAGTCTTCATGCACTCAAGCAGTGTCACCCATAATGTGCTGTTACCAGGCTCAACAGGAAGGGGACAGGATTGATGGGAAGGCAGAGAGCCAGCACGCTCGCAGAGTCTAGTGGGTGTGACGTGAGGGCTACCATAAGGCACCCAGATGGCGCTTCAGCCAGCCAGATCTGTAGAAATCTGTCAGGAGACCCTGCTCATGGCCTTAAACAGCACATGACTGAGACACGCTGGAGAAATAAACGGGCTGTCACCACATCATTAATAAGGTGCAGAATGAGATTTCCTGTGCCGTCCCAAAAGGAAGAGGGGGGGGAGGGGGGGGTAGAGAAAAGACCCGACTGGCTTGCGTTCTGTGTCTGCCAGCCTTTGTGACATAACAGCTTTTCGGGCGCAAGTTCCCTTCTGTGAGGCGAACGCTAGAAAGCCTGGGAAACTGCACCGACAGCACTTCAATCTCTGCTGTGGCTGGACCGTATCGAACGGCCAAAACTGACACCTTACAAAGCACACGTACAGCAGCTGCGGCAAGTGAACTTCAAAAAACAAAATCCCCAACCAGCCCTCATCATAAGAGGAGGAGAGCAAAGGTAAAAGCCCTAGCATGTTCTGTTCTGGAAAAAAAACATCCAATGACATATTTACAATATTTTACTAATTATTGCTTTCATAAAAGATTTTAAAAAAATAAGATGGCTGAAAACTAGAGGAATGTAGCTTATCACAGCAGCTTGTATTATAACGTTGAAAAGTAGGTCTGATTTTCTTCCTACTTATTGAGCTGAAGCAACAGTAAACCCTACAGTATATTGACTCCAAGGACCTTGACAATACAAGACCTAAACAGTTCAACCAGGTGAACAAACCATCTCTATCCTCTTACAATCAATGCTTTCAGATGATCACCCATAGAAGAAACACCGTTAATAAAAAAAAAAACATGACATCACATTTTGCGGGCAATCGTATAAGCACACCTGCAATGGCTTGAGGCATGGAGCTCTCAAATCTCTTTGACTGACTCATCCTGCTATCTTCAAGGTTTGACTTCAACTGCAACTTTTGATGTGGGCTTTTCTCTGCTGTAGGTCCCACTAATTTATGGGTCTTCAAGACTGCCCCTTCCAAGGGCAACATTTCAACCAGCACCTAAGGGTGATTAGTAGAATATAGATTCAAAAAAGTATCAGGGTTTTTAAATCTTGATATTAATATGAGATTACTACTTTTGGACTACATAAAAGTGCTGATTTAATTAATTAATCAACTTTCAGACTATATATATCTAATAGAAAGCTGTCTTCCAGATAAATTACAATGACAGACAACAGACTAACCCAGTTCATTTATATTTTAACTTAAAAAAATGACTGTATTGCATTAAACAAATAATTGTACTAAAATAGGAGGATGAATTGTTTTTTTTAAAAAGTGATTTAATGAGTATAGAAACCGACACGATACAGATTGACAGCACAGTACATCAATACATTTCCAGTAGATACAGAGAACTTCCAAAATGTTGTAAAAGAATATATACAAAATCCTTAAGATTTCCTGTAGTTCTGTTTTTAAACAAAACATACAAAAAAAGTGTTTTGGCTGCTTTGCTTCTTCCATGGATTCCTAAGAGGGATGGAGTGGCTCCCTATGACTCAGGCTGTGTTTTTGTGTTTGTTTAAAGTGGAGCTCTGGAACTTTTCAATATCCTCTACACATTTGTTTCTCAGAACGGGGGGGTTGGATCCTGTACATTCTGCAAACAGTTCCAAAACAGCTCTAACTTTGCACGAAGCAAGTATAATTAAATTAGCACGAGCTTCTTTTATGATGTCCATTATATTTTTTTCTTTATACAAATCAATGTCTCCCACCACCCACCTTCTGGTTCTTGTTATACTTCAACTGGGGGCAGAACGAGAGTCATAGATGCAGAGATCTGACCGCCTGTGTGATGAGTACAAAACGCAGTCGCTGAGACTAGACCGCACAATGGCAACAACGGTATATAAATGCATATACAATTATCAAACTAGGGGGAACGATCATAAATTTGCTTTCCTGACATGAATTGTAATAGAAAACCAGGGGATATGAGCAGATTTTGGAGTTATGATTATTCAAACCTTACAGTTTACTGAAGAATAGATGCAGGAACCTTTTCAAACTCGTTTATGAAGACACTCTCTCATTTTGGTTAAGAATTTTTTTGTCCCACTATGAAATTTACCTCAACATTTGCCAGGAGTCCATGCACAAAACAGTCTGTACAGTCATACAAACACAAGGTTTTAAGTGAACTAAAATTATGAAACAAATGCTTTCATAATTAAAATCCATAAACAATATATAACCATCCTTTTCTTTGCCACCGTATAACAGCAAAGAACACCTTAACCCACAACGCTAAGGTAAATAAAGTAAAGAAGATTTCAGCAGATCTTTCTTTATATGGTCCAAATGAACTAAATGGTCTTCCTCCTCATCTGACCTCACACAACCTGCAATGTTTTAATTATTCCAAAGCACACAATGCCCTGGAAACGTAACAAATAACCATCTGACTACACAGATGCCATCCAGAAGTACTCAGTCCCACACATCATAGTAGTAGCTCAAACCGCATCTTAGAGGGGCTTGATGAAATGTAAAAGAAAAAGATTCATCCAAAAAAGCTACTCTTAATATCCTGAAGGTGAGAATTAAAAGGCTGTTCAATGCCAATGTTGTTCTGGTCTTTTTGAAAGAAGGCTAGAGATATAGCCCAGTCGTAAACAAGAACAGAGCTGTCCAGCTGTTGTGGAAAAACAGCCCCCTGTCTTTCTATCTCACAGCACAGCTTTGATCGCTCAACCTCCCTTTGGTCCTTCGAGCCTGCAGCGCCCCCTAGCGGCGCCGGAAGGCCCTGGAGATTCTCCAGGCATTGGGCTCCTCGTAGCGGTTGTACAGGGGCTCGAGCCGCTGCTGTTTCTTCTGCTTGCTGAGCTTGGTGGGATCCGACACCTTGAAGAAGGCTGGGGCAAACTCCACCAGCCAGCGTGGGTCGATAGTGGTCACTTCCCTCATGTACTCCTTGGTGGTCAAGACGAGCTCGTGGTACACCACCCTGCAGGGGCAGAGCCGGCAAGTGCATGCATTAAAGCTCACAGGTCCTCATTAACCCTAAAATTTCCCCGATGAACAACAAATGGCCTTTTCATGTTTTCAAAACAGGACATTTTGTGTTTTTCAATACTCACAGTAGTTAGAAAAGTCAAGACAATATTAAGGCTGCCTACAATTCTACAGCACTTTGACCAAGACAAAAGTCTGCATTAGAGATGATGTATTTACACAGCAGCACCGCATTATTTCAATTGCACACAAAAAATGAAATGCCATGAGACACGCCTCCGAGTACGAAGAATGGAATTGTATTGACGGACTGGCTCTAAAACATTCCCGGACTTTATTACAAAGTAATCACTTACCACTCTGGCTGCCTGTTGAAGAGCGCGCTGGAAGGGTGAATGTAGACCACCTGCTGATCAATGAGGGTCCGGTAGCCCTCCTGGGGATCCTTCTTGGCTGCATTTCTGAAGAAGCCACTACAGATGGCCTTCTGCACTCGCACGGTTGCCTTTCCACAGGACACCACATCCAGCTTATGCCTGGGAAACACACAATAATAATCTACCTGCCAGCTACAGAAAATAAACCATAGCAAAACATGCACCATGCTTCATGTGAAGTGTTTAAGGTAGCATCCTTCTCATATCTAGGGTAAAAAAAAAATAACCTGTCTTCCTAGATCAGGTGTTAAGTCTTTCAAAAGTTTATGGGATCACAACTTACGCTGTAGGTTTTAGACATAAGTTAACTTGCTCTCCAACACAGAAATGGCTGAACACACTCCATTCCTTCAAAAAATCGTGAATAAAGTTGTCCTCCAGAGCCCCCTCCTATCCTCACCTATCCATGATTCCCAGCATTTGTTTGCGGATATCCTGGGCTCTGCGCAGAGAGCGCGCCTGGATGAAGTTCTCGTAGCACCAGGGGTTGGAGAACTTGTTGTTCTTCCAGGAGTTGTAGACAGCTAGCAGGGTAAGGTGGTCTCCCTCAGGCTGGTGGAACTTGGCCTTCTTCTGGTCTGCAAGGGCCTGCTTGTCCTGAGAGATAGAAAGAATAGAGGAAAAACTCTTCAGCGGTACACCTTCTCCAAATTTCAAAAATAAGAGGGGAAATACACTGCTACTCTTTATCCAAAAGCACTATTCACAAGGAGCTTAGTGTCAACAAATCAAGTAATTATATCAAGTGCAAAACACCAAAAAGGTTTAATTAAGATGAAAATGTTTTCTTCAGTAACTTATGCTAGGATAGCTCATTGGCAAAGATCAGTCAAGTGGTCAGTCACTTGGTTAAGCTCAGTCTTAAACATTAACAGCTTTTAATATTAACAACAATTGATGAAGCTATATAAATAAAACAACTTGGCATTTATAGGTTTGCCTGTTTGTCCTGTGGTCATTGACTGCACTTACCTTTGGTCTATAAAACACATTCTGCACTGAGAGCATAGAGACTATGGTCAGCATCTCTTCACTGCAGCCCAAATGGACAGACATGATGAGCATCTTACACAGCATGGGCTCCAAAGGAAACTCGGCCATCTGACCAGAAAGAGAGAGAAAGAAGAGAACACATCACCAGATGCGCAGAATAATTTATGGGGATTCTCCGCCACCTCTCTGGCAGCACATTACAACATTGTCCCTGTATCAATGCCTACTGCAGTCATCTTGAACAAACATGGGCATAATTCCCAGCAGCCATCAGTGAGACACTGTCATACCCTGCGACCCAATCGCGTGAGCAGCCCCTCATCATCCAGAGCTCCCAGGGTGTACAGCTGCTCCATGGCTGTGATCAGAGTCTCCATCGGAGGCGCGTCCATGAAGTCAAAAGACAGGAGGTCATTGATCCCCATTGCCTGGGAGGGGTAGTAAAACAAAAACAGTTAAGGAGAGCTGATTTCTGCTACATGAATTGCAATGAGATGCTGATTGGCGTACCGACATTAGACAGGCCACACCTTTAGTTAAGGCCAAGATCTATGTGCTCTAGACAACATAGTTGGCCATCGGAGACAACCACAGACAGCCTATTTTGAATGCAACTCTAGTCGTGTGGATTCAACAGCTCAACAATAACTGTTGATACTGTTCACTGATCAGAAGAATGGATACTCTGCATGATACAGAGTCTCTACCTCTTTTCATCCATCTGTTAAATATGTGAGGAAATTGAATGGATACTCATCAAAATATCAGGGGAAATTGATTTCTGAATGTGCAATTTCTCTTTTAATACAGGGAAATTTTGCCATACTGGAATCTATTTCACACTGAACTGAATTATTTATTTTGTATATCTGTACAATATGTATTTCTGCAATGTTAAGATTTTACTGTTAACTGATTGCGAGTCATCCTAGATGAAGGAGTCACTTAAAAATAATTATGGCAAAAACTGCAATTAAAAAACTGCTGCACCAAATTTTAGAGTTAAATCTTTCCAGCAAACAGTGTTCCAAAAAAATAAGTTCAGTAAAGCCAAGAAGTCATATGATATTCATGATGTCGCACCACAAGACTTTTATTTAAAATGCCAGGTTTGTGTTGAGCTGGATCCAGCATCTACTGTTTCTCTGATGTGTGACTGAAAGCAGTTTGGGACTGGATTGCATCAGCACTAAGCACTAAAACATAAGACTTGCACAAGGGCCAACTTCAATGGAGCCTCTGCCCCAATGAACACAGGGCCCTGCTAAGTCTAAACTGGTTGGCCTACATTACAGCACCTGGAATGAATTGATTCCTTCCTGTTAGTGCACTAAAGGCAGCTTTACCTTCAGAGACAGCACCGTGCTGGCCAAGTTGGTCCTCTGAATCTCAGGCACATTTGTGGTTAACATTTCATCTCTGTAGGCACGCTCTGTATACAGTCGGTAACATTTTCCAGGACCAGTTCTGCCAGCTCTGCCTGCTCGCTGTTTCGCCTGAGCCTGAAAAAAAACAAATATATAGAGAGAATCTCTTCAGACAAGTGGCACCTAAAACTCCATTATGTGGATTTCCATTATATGGTTCTTTACCAACAACCCTCCAGAGATTCAGACATTCTTAGAGGAGAAAACTCATCACTGTGTGACACCAGAAGACAGAAAGTAGCTTGAAAATAATTTGACAAAGTCACATTTTCTGGACTAAATGATTTAGTTCTATGCAGTTATGAATGATCTAGCCACAGACCAAAATGCATTTAAGACTTGAGTTATGCAAAACATAGGGGAGAAGGTATGGGGAGAGTGATTTGCTAGCTTGTCAAAAGCTTTTTTTTATTTTTTATTCTTGATATGAATTCTGATGAGCTCTCTCAAAACATGTCTATTAGGATATAGATTTAAACAACTCATGGTTCTGAACTGTAAGATTACCTGTGAAATGGGCGTCACCACCAGTTGATCAATCCCAGTCTTTGAGTTGTACACTTTTTGTTTCACAAAGCCTGGATCCACCACATAGTAAATCCCATCAATAGTCAGAGAGGTCTCTGCAATGTTAGTGGCAATAACCACCTGAAGAGAGGATACAGGATTTCTATTAACAAAGCCTATTCAACAGCATACATTAGCCACAGCAGCTGTAATGCAACATCTGTGCTGTGTCTCTCACACATCCATGTCTATATTCTTGCCTGTTATCTACCAAAAGTATGAAAGCTCTAACCACGACGCTCATTATTACTTTAGAAAGCCACAGTGACAGGGACCTACTTTGCGGCTGCCAGGAGGAGCAGGATCAAAAATCCTGGTCTGCATTTCACTGGGCAGAGCAGAGTAGACTGGAAGAATGATGAGCTCTGGGACATCAGGCCCCAGAGACTTCATCCTCTCGTATAGGATCTCGCAGGCAGTGTCGATCTCTTCCTGCCCAGTAAGGAACACCAAGATATCACCTGTCAGGAGAGAATTTAGGAGATGGTTAGTTTTCCTATGATGATAGTACAGCACAACTTAAACTGTGATTAACTAGATCTTGTGTATTTTAGTGATATTTCAGCCTTTAAGACCTTGAGAAACTAAATAGTCAAAAGCACCTTTGTAAGGTTAAGCTTTTGCGTTAATTCAAAGAAAAAATGAGAGGGACCAACTTGGCTTCTCTGCTATAATGCTTAGTCTTGTTTTGCAGTTTTCCCCTGTGATAGGAGAAAGCCTGGCAGTGCCAGGTAGCTCCCAGTGATCTATTTTCTAACCTGGAGGCTCAGTCAGATGGATCTGCATGACTGTGATGAGGCTGGCATCCAGGTAGTCTGTCTCTGGCTCCTTGGTGTAAAGGACTTCTACGGGGTAGGTCCTGCCAGGGATTGTGAAAATAGGTGCTTCATAGAAATACTGGGAGAACTTCACTGCATCCAGAGTGGCTGACGTAACAATCAGTTTCATGTCCGTGCGCTTCTGCACTGTCTGCAAAAGGAGGAAAAGCATGTTTGAAAAAGCCCCAATTTCACAGCAGTCCACCTCACTCCCACCAAAATACGTGCTCCTCAATTTACTGTTATTACATCAATGTTGAATTCTTGATCAGTAGCCTATAATGTTTAGTCCATAAATCTGTTTTTTGATTGCTTCTGAAACATGTTACATAACACTTTCAATGCATTCAGAACTTCAAAAATATCCTTAAATCATTATAATTCAAATATAAAGAATAATGTCTAGCAATCTTGTTACACATCGAAAGATTTTTGTCCTTACATGAAAAAAACATAATGCTTGATTGCTTAACAACAAAAACAAATTGTGAGGAGAATGATTTGCATGCAATATGAAAATTACAAGCTCAGTATGATATGTAACCCAGTTCAAAGCTTCAAAATGGGAAGATAACCTTTTTCAGCAGCCCGAAAAGCACATCAGTGTGAATCGTTCTCTCGTGAGCCTCATCCAGCATGATAATGGCATACTGTCCCAGGTCCGGATCAATCAGACACTCTCGAAGAAGCATACCGTCCGTCATGTACTTAATGACGGTCTCGGGGCTGGTGCAGTCTTCAAATCGAATAGTGTAGCCCACCTGAAGGAGAAAATGGAAGGAGCTGAGCTCTGCAAACCAAAGTTCTGCATCTCTGGACAAGCCCAACGAAAGTACAAACAACATGGCTGCCAGTGAAATCCACTGAGGACATAAGTGTTGCAACTGAGGCACAAATGCCTTTTAGGACATATCTATGAGGAAAGTTCCACCAGTAATTACTGAGCGGCAGTCATCTGTTTTCACCAGACTTTCAATTACACTGCAACAGCCATGTTACAGAGCTTAAGAAACACAGCAGCACCCACCTCCTGGCCCAGACAGCAACCGTACTCCTCAGATACTCGCTTGGCGACGGACATAGCAGCCACACGGCGAGGCTGTGTGCAGCCGATCTTCCCTCGCGTCGTGTAGCCGGCCTCTGCCAGGTACTGGGTGATCTGCGTGGTCTTCCCTGAGCCCGTCTCGCCAATGACAATCAGGATCTGGTTGTCATGGACAGCCTGCAAATAAGCAGCAATCAGCATTCCTGCACTCACTTTGCATTAATCAGAACTTCGCATCCGGTAGTTCTGATGATACTAGACTGCTATTGCAACTGAAAGAAATTCTGAGATCTGCGCTACAGGAATCTTTGATGTTGTCTTCAAAAACAGAAACAGAATTGCTAGATCTCAGATGCTGACTATCACAGTTGGGAAACCCAGATCTAAAACAGTGAATTTTATTTATTTTTTCTAACCTATGGGAATGAATCTTCAAGCCGATCCCAAAAATAACTATTCCTTTGTCAAGTCTGATGACAACGAACTTGACTCCAACAGCAGTTTGCAACACAGATTGACAACGACTTAGAGCCAAACCCCATAATCAATAATGTACTCAGTAAAGTGGAACACCTTCTTGGAAGCCCCATTATCACTGCTAATATTTCGACCTTCCACTTATTATCATAATGAAGATCTCCTAATCTGTTAAGAGATGAGGCTTATCTGCAAGTTTAATCACTAATGAGATAGCTACAGCTAACCTTTAAGTCTACAGTCTTCCCTCACAATTGCGAGAAGTGTATACAACATAAATTCCTAGCTCCTACCTGTCTATAGCAAGACAAAGCTGGAATAGTACTTCTTTAACAAAATACTAATGACCTGAACACGCATTCCCTTTGATAATGACCCATCAACTAGAGCAGGCCTACCTGAATGAGTTGCTCCTTTAGTTTGTATATGGGAAGGCTCTCTCTCTGCTCTAAAATGGAAAGCTGCGTCTTCTTGCCGTAGGAGGCCTTGTTCCCCCCAAAGGCATGCTTCTTCCACTCGGGGATATCATTGGGCATCATCCCGATACCCCGCATGTTGGCAGCAATCTGCCTGCCCTCAGCTGCCAGGACAACAGTAAGGTTAATGGATGTGAAGCTCAGGATGATCAGCGTAATCACACTGTTCAGAAAAACACCTATAGAAAGTATCCACTAGAAAAACACCACCTCCGCCACAACCACTATTTACCATGGAAAATACTGGAGCTAAACATCTGTAGTGGCTCTGCTGGACACTCTTATCTAACACTGCAAAGTTTACGAAAATAAAGACTTTAACAAGTCATCCACAAAAAGAGTAACTATTAATCACCATCTAAAGTCCAGCTTTTCTGTACTTTTCTCAATGACAATTAATTTGTAGAAGTCCTGACCACCAATTTGTCTATACATTTTATAATGGGAATGGCAAATAAACTCCAGCAATTGAAATTCTCTTTGACTAGGACATCAGAAATATTTTAGTTCTTCATTTTTATATATATATTAACACAACTTTATTCTGCCAAAGAAGTTTACAAGGATGGACCCGTTATTCTACACACAGCTGATAAACTCATTGTATATTGATTTAAGAAAATCACAGCCAAAATGAATGCACAGTTATGTTTCCAGTTATCTCTTACAGAGACAACAAATAAACAAACATGTGACTCTGAATAGTCAATTTTGTTCTCTGTTGACTTTCCAAAGAGATTTAAAATGCTCACATTACAATGTCTGACAGGCTAGTTATTGCCATCTTACCATCAGGCAGGGGATCAACCCAGTGCTTATTGAGTCCCATAGGGATGGAGTCCATCTCAGCCTCACGCTGAGCCTGCTTCATCTCCCTCCTCTCCTTGGCCAGGGCACTCTGCATCATAGCAGCCTGAGACAGCGAGCCATCAGGGTTCTGCAGGAGAAAAGCGATCACTTCATCAAAGGGAGGTTCAGACTGGGGGACTGGCCAGAGACTTGTATCAAATGGGACATTACACAATAAAAGACTTCTTACTGCTTGGAAGGCCCATGAAAAACGTCCAGATATTGGTCAGTGATCATGAAAGGTGAGGCCCGGCACAGGAGTGATGTGTAAATTTTCTGAAATGATTACCTTGACAATTTTGACAGGGCTCATGTCCATGCTTTGCTTAGTGTGTCCTCTCAGGAATGGAGGCTCCTCTTCCACAAGCTCAATTTCCAGGTCCTCATCTACAATAAACAGTTAAAAAGCATTTGGCTGTTATAAAGTATTCATTAGGATAAAGCTTCATAAAATGAAAAACATTATTTTGCAGAAATATTGCATTATATGGAGAGTGGTCAGGATAAAACTGATTTAAATATTTTTAAAAGGCTCTCTGCAAGAATTTAGATAAAGATTATTATTAGACAAAATGTGACTGCAGCACACTGGAATCTAAACTCTTCACACAGTCTTGTTGAGGCAGAATGATAAATGACAGGAAGCTGCTTTCAGTGCCAGTCTGAGAACAGAACTGAAACCGATTCCTCACCTTCTTCGTCATCTACTTTGGGGAGAATGCCCGTCTCTTCATCGAAGTCTGGGAACTCCTCTTTTGAAAGAACGTTGGCTGCAATCATCTGATGACAAAACAGAAGAAAAATTCACAAGCCTTTCAGACTTTAACAATTTCAACAATGCAACCAGTAATACTTCTGAAAGGCAAACCAATGTCAAATAAAAGTATTGCGGCTCTAAAGATTAATTTCACATTCACATGTCTCTAAAAATCTGAAATAAAACTCATACGTGACTAAAATATCTTAAGCTAATAATATATATGAAGAATAACTTTTTTAATACAGCTTTCCCGTTTATCCTAGTCATTTACAATGCAATGATGCCTCCTGCTGGATTTAAATATTATTTACCACATTTTAAGTCAAAGCAATTTAAAGCAGTTTGAAAATATACCGCTGAACTGGAAAACAGGCTGACACAGTGCATTATTGGCCAGGAACAAAACTCTTACCTTTAAAGCTGTACTGCAAAACATCTACAGAAGAGCCTAAACCTTAAGGAATCATTGCTTTCTAATACACAACAGGTTCATCACTAAAACCAAAAATCACTATAATCTAACGAATCCCTGTAACCGCCACTATAATAAAAAAAGACTCCATCGGTATATTTACACCCTCGGGCTAAGGGCGAGTAGAGGGTCACAAGGCTGCGGTCCGACAGCCCACCTGCTTGATCTCCCACTTCTCCGGGTCCGAGATCTTGGTGAGCCTCTTCCTCTCGAGCGAGTCATCCTCCACCTCGGGCGCGCTGACCAAGGAGAGGTGTGTGGGCCGGTCAGGGTTCCTCATGGTCGTCTCCTCACTGCCCTCACACCCCATGTTCCGTCTTCTGTTGGGGTTCAGGTCCTCCCCTGTCTCCTGGTCCACATCCTGCAGAAACACCAGGGAGACTATGAAGACACAGATCCAATTTTGCAAAAAATACAAGAAGCTGTTGGGAAAAGCCCAAACCAGGACAAGCAACTGAGAGGACAAAGATGGCAAAGTAAATTCTGAGGATGGGCAACTACATGCTTCTAACTAAATTGTGGGTGTTAAACTCAGGGCACCAGTTTGTGGTCTTGCTTTGCAACATTTATATGACAAAAATGGTGGTCTATTTAATGTATTTTTTTGTATAGCATCTTCAAGATGGCCACATCATCCTTAAAACTAAGGTGATCTGAAGACATTTCTATATAATTTAAAAACATTTTAATGCTGGTTAATTTTTCAAATGAATATTTGTTTCTGAAATGGATCACAGCACAAAACATCCACCTCCAGTGGACTGCACTGCAGCTTGTCAGAAAAGCAAGCATTTACCATGTTACATATGCAACAGCAGTACAGTTATTTTTTAGCATTTTCAACCAATTCCAAAGTTGTACTATCTTACCTTCATACTGAGACTGGTTTTAGAGCCAGTAAAGGACAGCACCTTAACCTTGACCCTCTGACCTTTGCTGACAACATCTGCAACATTGGCCACTCTCCCTTCTCTCCTGAGCTCAGAAATGTGGACTAATCCTTCCCACCGTTTCCTGCAAAGACAAAGTTATGCATGCATTAGTTTGCATTTCCTGTGTATGATTACTGCCATCTGACTGATATAAAATCTATGATTCTCTGCTCTTACAAATGTGCTTAAAACATATGTTGGGAGCTGCAACAGATAAACCATGCTGAAATTTGTAAATGAAAAAAAATAATTGTCTTTGCCTATCCTAAAAACAGAGATCTTTAGACATCTAATTAAGAGTCTATTTAGCAAGAACTGTTTTATTTTTAAAGAAATTAAAATAAACATAGGTAGCGTCTTGATTATAAATAACATTTTATTAAAAATATATAGCTAGACTTCAATACACTGTTCTAACATCATAACTACATACACCTCTGAGCTCACGTGCCTTGAAGACAGGTTTATGAAATGGGAGACCCAACTTCACATGCAGTCATCATTCAGTGTTCACAAGAAACAATCATGCATAAGGAAATCAAATTCTCTCCTCACAGACCTCAGTCCCTCGAGCTGCACGAAGCACCCAAACTGCATGATGCTGGTGACTTTGCCGTTGTAGATGTCCCCAACCGAAGGCTCCTCTGGAGGGGGACGGTCCACATGCTTGTCCTTCCAGCGGTCAGCGGCCCTGTCCTTGTCCCTGCGCTCTCTGCTGGGGCTGGGGGTCCGGCTGCGGGACCGACGGCGGGATCGCGCCTTCCCTCGGTCCCGGGAGCGCGAGGGGGATCGGGACCGGGATCGGGAACGAGAGCGATGCCGCCGCCGCCGGTCTCTGTCCCTATCCCTGTCCCTATCTCGGCTCCTGCTCCGTCTCTTCTTCCTGCCGCTTTCATCAGACCTGCAGGGAAACACAGGGAGCTCGGGGTCAACGCAGCACGACGCTTAGGGGAGCAAAACCGGCGAGATGGCAGACAAAGGTAGAAATACAAATGAAGATTAAACGGCTGCATCAAACTGCAATCAAAGCTGAGGCCACCAGTCCAGGAAATGTAATTTGCAGATCAGCATAAATGCACTAATCTAAATGTCTTAAATAGAAGCGTTACTTTGAATACATAACTGCTAGGCATTGGCTTCATGAAAATTAATCAAACCCTGAACAGCAGCAGCAGAAACAAACTGCTACTTCTCAACACCATGGTGCATTTTTAGCACATGTTGACAGATCTGTAAAGAGCTGAGAAAACATTTTATATTCAGTGGTACAGTTACAACTTGTTTCCTAGAGCTCTGTCATTGCCACTGCATGGGATTTAGGCTGGTACACAGGAGACCCCACCTCTGCTTGCTGCTCTTAGCCGTGTCTGTGCCACTGACGCTGGGCATAAACGCTTCCAGCTCCTTCATGGCATCAGCCGCAACCTTCACATCATCCTCATCAAGCATGTTCTGTAGCAGAGACAGGCAAGAGAACAAATTATCGAAGATAACAACCTAGTACAATTTATACTGCCTAAGGTTTATTTTACAGTATTTCTAAACAGCTCTGAAATACTTTCAAAATATAAGACTGCTGCTGTTCACCAAGCCCTTAATTGATTAATATTTTGTGTTAATGTGCAAGACACAGGGAAACCTAACTGACCCACTGCTATCTAAAACAAGTAATTTCAATCAGCCTTCAAAATAAATATTTCCTCATATAAACATCCAAAAACTTTATGCTACCACTGACTTAAGTGAATTTAATATCTAACAGACCTTTATAACATTCAACTACTGGCAGCTGAATTATTCCAATGAAGTGGTTCAGCAGTTAGTGTTTGAAATGGTTATTTTTAAAGCTTACTCTGATAACAGGGTTGTCCGGCCTGCAGAGAGCAGGAAACAACTCCTTCAGCTTCTCCTTCTCTGTCTTCTGTTTGACAGGCACCACAGAAGCTGGAAAATACAACAATACTAAGAAATTGAAGTATTAAGGTCTACCTCTCATAAAATCAAAATGAGGAATTCTGAAATCTGTCACGGCACACACTTATTGTCGTAATGTAAAGTCATAGTGCAGAGTTCTGCTCACGAGAATTACACATTTAACAGCTCCTAAAATTCCCTTTACCTCAAAGATTAAATGCCTAGAAGTCACGTACTGAAAAAAGTCATTTGTGTTACTAGTAAAATAGCTTTGTGGAGACATGATCATTTTATCTTATTTAAAATCTCTTCCATTAAATAGAGTAAGTACAAGCAATGTTCTAAATCTTATGCCATAGCCACAATGTACCATCATATTACTGATTGTCTAATAGAACTGGTTTTGTGCATGTGGAAATATTCAGACATTATGTTAGTAATTATTCTTTTGCTTTTCTTTAATTTAACTTTTTAGATATGTGATAACAGTAATAAAAACTCTGACAACAGTTTTTTAAGAAGGCCTATCCTTCCACAAGAAACCCTTGTGGAAGGATAGGCCCTCTTCTCAAGCAGAAATGTGTTTAAGAAGCACAAAATTTGTTTTCCAGAAAAAAGCCTAATGGAACAATTTACAAATCACACGAAGTTAAAAAAGGAAAAGGTCAAGCCTACCTTTACTTGTAGATGGCTTTGCTGGTGGTCGCATTGTCTGAATCAGCCTCAATAAATTACTGACCAGTGAGTCCTTAAAAAGCACAATAAATTAAATCAGCATCTCACCAGAGATGCTTTATATGCAAGACAGCAGATCTTGAAAAGTGTGACAGAGCAGAGTAGAAAATTAAAACCAGAGCAGGCAAACAGAATAAACTGAGAGTTTATTAACTTGCACTTGTTGGCGTGCACACTAAAAAAGGCCTTCTGTGCAATTTCCAGTGGATTGGGAAAATGACAAAAATATTTCATATTATTTCAAATAGGAAAATGACTAATTGCTATGAATATGGAAGCTGTGCTTGGATGCTGGTCATTGAAAAAAAAAAAAGACAGACTTACTGTAAATTCAGCTCCATTTTTTATCAATGCTCCCCTGAAGCCCTCAAAGGTAGGATTCTTCTCTGCGATATTGATCACAAACTCAGCTAAATAGAAAACAAATATTGGTTACATGTAACGCAATAAATTTTATTAACCTGAAACGTAATCTATTTTATATATGTTTAAAAACAATTTTGAGTAATCACAGCCTGCCCATTGCAGTCAAGTGGTCGCTTTTAATCATCTTTATCATAACACTGATATGTTAATTTACTAATAACATTCCTTTAGCAAATATAATTGTCTTACAGCGCCGATGGATTGTAATGAAGTTTATAGATAAGACATCACTTTCACGACAATATTAACAAATCTGAATATCGCTACGTACAGCCATTTTGACTCATGTTTACATTTCTAAGATGTCTTTCTTAATTGGAAGTGATACAATATCATGACTCGTATAGTATTCAAGAATATTAAGTTCAATGTAATATAAAGCAAAAGGCAGTCGATTCATAGGACATATCAACAATTATCTATCATTATTAACGTACTACACATTGGTATAAATAATAGCTCTACCAGCAGTAATAATACTAACATTACATGTCATGTGTTACATCAGTAACAACAACAGTTGTGGAAAAAACCGCAGTGGCACAAGTAATACAAGAACAGTTATTCTTTCAGACTTATTGAGTATACGTAAACTTGTTCAAAGCCTCTGAATCAAATTTCAGATCTCACCTAAATCTTTGTCGCTGATACCTAAATGGTTATCCAGCTCTGTACAAACTTTGGAAACCAAAGACAGGTATTCGAGTTTTTCAAGCTCGTCTTCTCCAACATCGACCATTTTCTCAACTCTGCGCTTGGGTTTCTACAGATCCACGAATTCGCACACCCGGCCAGAGAAGGCCCCAACTCCTATTCCTATGGTTAAACGAAAAACGTTGTAGTCGAAACTCAAAATCTCCCAAGAGGGTGAAGTTTTCAAAATAAAACAACTGTAGTCGATAACATCATGTTTTGCTTGAAATGACAACAGCCACCATCTTGGCCAAATTAACCTTTGACCGTCCGGTGACGTATTAATTTTCTAGCTTTGGATATTTCTGTATTTAATTTGTATTTAAATTGAAGATTATGTATAGACATATTATATATCGATTACAATAAAAATGTTTAAATACAAATTGCTTAAATACAAAACGACAAGGAGAAAAAGGCAGAGCATTTACAACTACTTCCGGGGGTTTGAGTCTATTTCCGTTTTCTACTTTCGGACCGTCTCGGTGCCTTTCGGTGTTTTACTCGTTTGTCGTCAATATTAACTGATGTGAAATGCACAGCTTTATCTTAACTGTATCTTGATAAAGTCAGATTTAAACCAAATAAAGTGGGAGATATAAAACTGTCCTCCAGTGCAACCAACACTAATAATAATAATAACGAAAACAAAATAACATTATTTACGTTTAGTAGGAATATTCATTAAAAGTATAATTCCGAAAACACCACCAGACAGGTGAATAATATACGGTAGAAATAAGGCTATATGCATTATTATCCGTAACCGTAATTATGATAAATTTTATTGCTTACTATCGTGTTATGATCAGGCTTAATGTCACAGACTTTACAGAAGAGGGCGCGTTTACCTTACTTATCAGATAATCTTTTTCAACTGTAAATTTTCTGAACCCTCTTGACTACCGATTTGTTCCTAGGTCCTGGATGTTTGTGGGGTTTTTTTTTCTTTATTTGATTAACAAGGGAATGGAAAAACAAAGCAAGAATTAAAATGCATTTTGGATTCAATTAAGGGAAAACGATTTTTCACGGGCAAGTGGCATTTAAGAGCAAGTGCAATTGGATGTTTGGTTTAACAACTCATTGGAATGGTGGCATATTCTGTAGCACATTATGTTACCATCACCTTACTTGGACATTGTTGTTTGTTTTTTTTTTTGGAAGGGGGTATATTTCTGGTCCAGAGGGAACAGCGTCACTTACTGGTTCATTAACAGCATTTACAGCAGCAACATGGTTTTCTGTAGGGGTCTCCAATCTCACTAATTGACCAAGCCCAGGCTCTCTCAGCTCCTGAAACCTGGCAAGATCGGGTTTCAAGGTGCTAACACCGTTGTCCTCAAACATGGGCTTAAAAATAAACCAGACTCCAAGGGGGGTAGGAAGGAAGGAAAGTGAAATAGGGAAGGAGAGGAAATCGAATAAAGGGATGTCTACTCTAAATATTATGGAAAGAAAAAGAAGACAGGGTGATGAAAAATCCAGTCATTAGTGGATGTTAAATTCCATCCATCCATTATCAGTGTTCCGGGTTTTGGTCATGGAAACCTGGAGCCTATGCTGAAAGCACAGGGCACTCACATGGGTACAAGTTACAGATGCCAATTAACCTAACCAGGCTGTCTTTGGTAGGTGGGTGGAAACTAGAGGAAATGTTCAAGTCACTCAGCTTATCTGGCCTGTTTAATTCACCAACCTTGTGATCAGGCTGCAACCTTGCCAGAAAAAGGCCAAAAACGACCATGAGCACACATCAATTTAAGCACCAGTAGCATCTCTTGTAATGTAATACAAGGCCTGCGGTCCTTGTTACATAAATGGATTAAGCATCATGCAGAATTGAATAGATTATATTCTCCAGAAAACCAATTTATTAGGAACAGAAAAGGAAAGATTAAGGCTGAGCAGATGTGTTCACACTGATAGGAGTACAGCACAGTATTCAAGGCATAATTCATTATTGCACAGTGACCAGCTGCACATGGCTGGAGAAATCAACAGCTCTGCCCTGCTTTCAGGCTGATATATCAACCATCTCAGCTACCAGCAAGAGACTTCTCTAGTGTTGAGAAATGTTTTCTGGTATGAATTACTTAATTTTGGATCATGATTCCTCCTTTTTCTCCATTCATATGTAAATAGCTATCATTTTTCCAGTTTTCTGAAATATGATCACATTTATTAATATAATAAAGTCATTCAATATTATATGAAAATATGAGATTAGGTTGATATGGCACCTAGCAAGAAAATGACAACTCTTTACTGGTGGGTTTTTATCACCAGGGTGAATTAAGGGATTGAATCACAATCATTTTCCAGAATGCATTCCAGACTAATAACAGGAATGATCCAAAGCCTAATTACTAATGGCAAGAATCAGCATTCCTGCTCTGTATGAGTGCAGAAACAGCTAAAGGATGCTTTTGCCCCCAGATCTCAGAAATGATAGTGGCCTTGCTAGAAACAGAACACAGTAAAATAAGTGACTATTCTTTTCCTCTTCATCCACAGAGTACATATTCTTGCAATGATAAAAATGCAATGATGCTTTACACCTAATGATGAAATCTGAAAGTTGTACATAATGCAATAATATGTACACTACCATTCTATGAGAGTATACCTGTAGATGCATTAAAATGTCTCCAGTATCCCTCAGTTTTATTTCTTCACCACATAGAATTAGATAAGACAGTAAAGGAACAAAAAGTGATCAAGGACTGGGGGGGGTGTCGTTTCTGATGCCATCTGCCTCAGCTTGCTCAAAGACTCCTTTTCTTCAAGAAGTTTGGAAGTCAGCATTTTCTATAGAACTCCAGGAAATGTTTTATCTAAACATCACAATCTAATCATGTTAAAATGATAGAAGAATTGTTGGATATGTGCAAATAAAGGACAATACCAATTAATACAATCCAGCCTGGAAACTGTACAATCCAGAACTCACTATTCGTGCTCTATTATGTCTGTCCCCTTATTATAAGGTTCTAATACTAAAACTGGGTATGTTGTCCTTCAAAGCTACTCTGCAAGCCAACTTTCTTTCTTGCATGTAAATAATCTATGACAGTTATGGAATGTTTTAACATCATTGTCACAAAGCTCAGGAGCTTTACAGTTCATAATTCCAGTCAAGGTAATTGTCATAAATACCAGTTTGGAGGCTTGAATTACAATTTGTGATGTTCATCTGGTCCTTTCAAACATGGGGTTTAGAAAGCTAATTTACTGTATAATCACCATACCTAATAGCTCACAAAGAGGGAATCCTGGTCGTCCTCATTCTGAAAGCAGTTTCTGTTTCCACGGTTTTATAATGCATTAACATGCGCCGCCATGGCAACCAGCTGCAGTGACAATGCCAGTCCTGCCTCCGTTCGCAAGCCTTGCCACGCACACAGGGTGTTCGCCTGGCTGCTCACACATCGGCTGCACTTCCCTGAAGAGGCCAAGCCCCATCAAGGGATGAGAGATATGTCCACGGTAGTAAACATCACTGCTGCATTCACTCATAGCAGTCCATTTACAGCTAGCTCAAACATTTTGCATGCAATCTCTTTTCCTCCTGCCTTATGCTCTATATCCACCTTGGGGGTTTTCTGACTACTAATAATAATAATTAAAATTCCTTACATTTCTCTAGCCCTTTTCCGGACACTCCGTTCAAAGCACTGTGTAGCCCCAACGCCCTACACTCACCACACATCAGTTGTCAGTGAAGAGCTGAACAGACTGATGAAGCCAATTCGTAGATGACGATTATTAGGAAACCAAGATTAATAAAGGCCAGGGAGAAATTTTGCCCGGACACCAGGCAAACACCCCTTTTAGAAATCTTTGTGTACCTACTTGTTTATTCTGTAAATAAAGAGTTACTTTTAACCGTTAACTTCTGCATGAAGAGATCCTCAGGTATGCCTGTTGGGAGCCCCTGCTTTCTGGAATAATAGGTTAAGCAGGTTATTACAAATGATTTGTCTGGTTGACATCCACTGCATACATGTTGCGCAAGGGATGTTCTGTCATAGTCCTTACACAAAAGAGGTATTAGCCAAAGTGTTTTTAAGGCTGCCTTTAGGAGGGATCTCAAGCTGCTCTCATCATTTGCTAATGGGCCAGTGTAGTACGTACTCTACTCTCATTCAAATGCAAATGGTTTGCTTGATGTCTGTCATTTACGAGATTGCCATTTTGCTAGTCTGCTGTTCTGGAAGTTTCCAAAAGCCACTCAGCACTGTTCCCACTTGAGAACATTGAGCCACCATCAGCCCACTGGCCTTCCAAAACAATTGGTTTTAGTGTAGCTTAGCCCGTGTGGGGAATTATCCATTAAAGCAACACAATGACGCAGACAGAAAGGGCAGATAAGTCTGGTGAACTCAGTGGAGAATCTCTCTCCCAGAGGCCAAGGGGAAGCCCTGTCTCCTGCCCTTTGCTGATGTCTATCTGCCAAAAAGCCTGTCAACACTTCTAGGAAGAGCAGCTTTCAACTGCCAGCGCTTGATCCCTCTTGGAGAGACAGCAGGGAGGTTGGAAGGAGAAGATGCAGAATGTGGTGTTAAAAGAGTGCAGACAGGGAAGAGCTTGCAGTGTCATCTCCTTGTCCTCTCCACCTAAGCACCTTTTCTCCACGAATGTGGAGCTCCAACTATCACCACATTTGGTGGTGTTTACTCTCTGCCTTCAGCACAGAAACAAAAAGACATACTGTTCAAGCAGTGCATTGCTCAGACAGATTCTAACTTTTTTTTAAGAGCATTAAAAAAAACTGATGTGATTTTGTTGCAGAAATATTGTATTTGTTTTATTAATTTATGCAATCCCCAGTAACAATGATAACTAACATTTCCCTTTGACTTGTACAAACTTGAATCCTCCACAGACAGCAAGTATAAGCCCATAAAAAAGACAAGCCCCGAGTTCTCATGTTCTATTACTCAAGAACAGGAGCTGGATAGACAGCTGTGCACTCAAAGATACTGTACACATAAAATGGGCTACTGTCAAGCTCTGCACTGTAACAGGGAATGCAAAAGCTCT